ACGTCCGAGGCGTCGAGGATGGTAAGGCGTCCGAGCCGATCCCCTGCGGCTATCGTCTGGCCGTAAATAGCGACGGCGCGGATGGGAGAGCGCCGGCGCCCCGTCGCGAAGGCCTGCTCGGGCCGCGCGCTGTGGGTACAGCGTAGCGTGAAGACGCGGCCGGCGACCGTCGACGCGCACACCGCCGCCGTCTCCGGACAGGCCGCGAGGCCCGTGATTTGATCCGGGATGGACAACACAGTGTGCGGCTGCTGGCCGTAGCGCGTGTCGTAGAGCAGCACCTTCCCATCGTAGTTCGCGACGAGGAAGTTGTCCGGTGAGAGCGGCACGGCGGAAACGGCGCGCGGGGAGGGGTTCGCCAGTACCTCCTTTGCTGTGCACCGCTCCACATCCACCACCGTCGCCCCTGCCTTCACGCAAAGAAGCAACGAAGTCGGAGTGTGCGGCACGGCGTGCAGGGTGCGAATCGGTAGCTGGTTCGGATCCTCCACATGAGGTGAGCCATAGCGAAAGTCGTCAACCCCCCCCAAGGTCGTCTCCGAAGCGACCGTATAATGCCCCACCAGGGTGTGCGAACGGCGAGACAGCACCGAGACCGTGCCCGCAAAGGATCCTAGCGCGATGCGCTCATCGTTCAAAAAACAGCCACTCAGCAGCGGCTCTCCACCATAGCAATGGTAGGGGTAGCTCTCAACACTATACGCGGACACCGCCTCAAAGGGCTTAACACCCTTAGAAGGGTCATCCATGTTCAGCACGTGGGCGCCGTTCATAACGGTTATAGCAAGACATGCATTTTCCTGAACATTAAACGCCAACGATGACACTTTTCCAAGGACTTCGATTTGACAGACCGTCTTGGAAGAAAAGGAAAGCTCGGAGGGCATGGGGATAGTATGTTATCTAAACTCTTTCAAGCACTTAGAGTAAATAATACTACCAAAAAAAAAAACGTTTAAAAAATAAAAATAAAGTGTAATGTCAGAAAATTAACGGTATATATAAGTATAATCGCACTTGGAAATGGAATCCTTAACAAGCGGCAGCGTAGGGTAATAACTTAATAAGAGAATGATGAAATACAATATAAATTGAACTTATGTAAAGAGTGATGACGTTAGGCAGACAGTAAGATCTAATATTGAGTAAAAAATATATAGATAGAATATCAGCAATGTATCTTCTGGCGCTTCTTTTTGTATGAATACAATTTCATGAGCTTAAATGGATACATTATCAAACCTAAAGTGGCGCCAATCAGTAGAGTTGCTGGAATATGAACTGGGGCATATGCAAAGAAACATTTAAGATTCAGACGCATAAATTCTCGTCGCTTTTCTCGCCACGTTGTCTCATTTACAAGAGCGCCTATCCCTGGGTAGTAAAGATGTGACAGCACTAAACAACTGAAGGCTGGAATTTCTGCGGTCAATGGGCCCAAATACGGTGTGAAGCCTTCTTTTGCTTTAGGATTAGTAATGGAAGGCTCAACCACACACCAATACGCCAATGAGCTCGCGGTGAAGCTGAGATAAAAGAAATCCTTCATTATTCTCGGAATGAGACCTTTTTTATTTTCTTCTGTTAACGAAAGTTGCATAAGCGGCGAAGCAGGGGTTGCAACGCAGAACCCAAGGCCAAATAAAAAACCACAAACGATTGCCCGAACCAAACGTCGGTACGTGAAATAGTTCTCATTGATATAAACTTCAGACATTTGTGAGATATCCTTTGATTCTAGAGAAGATTGATCATCGGGCATCGCAGCATAGTTCGAGCTTCCAAACTTACAACTACGTGTCCGCTTGATTTGTTGTGTTTATTATTTGTACTTCCAGTCTACTTCACAGTGTAATGAGAAGCACGGTTCCCTTTTCTCTCAAAAAAAAACATCAAAGAACGAATAGAAATCAAATGACGGATCAGCATTTTCTCAGAAAGGACACTGAGAGCCCTAGAATCATATAACATTCAAAACTACAGAATAATTTGAAACTGCATTTCTTTCTCTTCACCCTCCACGAAAGTGTGCTGTGGTTGGTCGGCACTAGCTGTATTTCGAAATTTACCTTATTTTTTCACCATTATGTAAAGGCGTGCTGAATTAAGGAAATAGGTCAACTCTGATGTTATTGGGAAGGAGCCATACCCATCATTTATTTATTATTCTTTAGAAAAAAGATGACCGACCGTGTGACCAGTTTTTGTACCATTCCGCATCCTTTGTGTCAATACGTGGCTTCACTTTTTTGAGAGCGGTGTCGACATCTTCAAGAGACACATAGGCCGCGTTCAAATCCTTCGAGATCGCCGTGAAGGCGGCTTCATTCACAATTGCAACAATTTCAGCCCCTGTGTAGCCCTCCGTTCGTTCGGCGATATACGCTGGCCCGAGATCAGGGGCCACAGGAAGAGGTTTGAACTGAATTCGAACAATCGCCTCACGCTCGGCGTAAGTGGGAAGACCAACGTGCACGAGGCGATCAATGCGCCCAGGGCGAAGAACTGCGGCGTCGATACTATCAGGACGGTTTGTGGCTGCCACAAATACCAGCGCATGCTTTTCATCAAAAGACGCTGGCAACCCATCAAGCTCTGTTAGAAACTGAGAAATGACGCGATCGGAGACGCCACCTTGACCTCGGTGCCCACACATGCCATCGAGCTCATCGATAAAAACCACACACGGCGCCGCCGCCCGTGCGCGGGCGAAGATATTTCTCACTGCTTTTTCGCTATCGCCCACCCACTTTGAAAAAACCTCTGGCCCTTTCACGGAGATGAAGTTCATACAGCTCTCATTTGCGAGCGCCTTGGCCAACATCGTCTTGCTGCAGCCTGGCGGCCCGTAAAGAAGAACACCCTTCGGCGGTGTGAGATTAAACTGACTAAATAACCAACTCTGCTTCCCAAGGCACCACTCTACCGCATCTTGCAGTGTCTTCTTCGCCTCTTCGCTTCCTCCGATATCAGACCATGTCACTTCTGGTATGGAAAGCTCAAGCCCACTGAGGGCGGAAGGACGTACAGTCTTAACCGCCTTGTGAAGGTCTTTGACCTCAAAAAGCGTTTGGCCTTGCCGCTTGAAGCTTTCCATCATTGCAAAATCGATCACGCGTGAAAGGTCGCGCTGATTGAAGCCATGTGCATTTTTGGCGACCTCCCGGAGCGCAGCCTCAAGAGCGGCGGTCCTCCCTTCTTCCCATCTTTTCGAAAGTCGACGACAAACGCAGCCTAAGAGAACATCGTATTTTTCGCCCACATCAGTTGGCGGATTCAATCTGATGATGTTCTCCGGCGCAAATCGCGTCGGCGTTAAAAGGGATGCGTTTAACCCTGTTAAAGTTCTCACGGAGGCCAGAACGCGTACAGATGGGCTCCCGCTGCCTACGTGTAATTGTCGAAGCTCCTCGCAAAGCACACGTGTGAAAAGCTTCATAGACCACTCCGATCCTATTGTGGAAGAGTGGAATGACGGCGTGGATGAACCCTGTGAACCGCCTCCGCACAGGGTATCCAAATCGTCGATAACAACTGTAGCAGGCGGGGAGAGCTTTGCCATGCGAAACGCCTCACGTAAGGCGGTTGCGGTACGGATCTCACTATCCGAACCCTGCGCGAGCTCTTCAGGGGAAAGAAAAAAAACGTGGCGGTGATGACAATCCCGATCAACTGCAGCGAGATCTTCAATGATGTAGGTTTTACCCGTGCCGGACTCCCCAACAACAAGCACGTGTGAATCTCCTGAACATTGAGGAAGTGTCAAGGATGCAGAAGAACAATGCACAGCCTCTGTACTTACCCCAGAAGTACCTAAATTGTCTGACGGATCCTCCGCTGAGCCCATCACTTCGATTTGAGTGGCGTTAGTCAAGGCTCCGAAGGGAACCTGTTCACTACCTTCGGCCTCCTCGTTCACAACCGCAAGCACTTGATATACCTCAACATGAACTGTATGAAAAAAACGTCGTAACAACGCACGCATGCCCTTGAAAACAAGACGATTCTGAAAGCTCTTGCGGAAGAGTGCGCGCCACTGCGTCGAAAGGGATGTTGAAGAAAATATATAACCATCGTCGACGTTGGTATCCTGGTCAATCACCCGTAATTGTATGTAAATATCTGTAATGGTAGGCCAAGATATGGAAACGGGAAGACTACTCTTCTCATATGCACTAGCTATCGAAACCGGTAAGTTTAAGGCGAGCGAGGTAGACAGGGATAGATCCTCCGACACTACCACACGGCCACGAGATACCGATGTGCTAAGAAAAGCCTGCATATACGCAGTCGGAGACGCGACGTCGTCAATATACAACTTAATCACATTTCCATTAGTAATCCTCAAGTTCGTGAAGGAAGCTGGATGCATCCTGCACTCCGTCACAAGCAGAGCGGCGTCATACTGAATCTTCAACACCACTCTGCGTATCGTTTCGGTATCTTTCTTCGAATAAGGCAATTTATTGGATTCACCGCAACGCACATGGTTTGCTTCATCAGTTAGAGCTACTAAACCGGTCCTGTTACTATCAAGTTCAGTACTGCTGTTGGCTTTAGTTCGACCCGCAGGCAAGTTAGAATAATCTTTTAAAGTATTAGAATGAAGCGGGAGAATGACCGATTCACTAGATTCCAATACCATGTTGGAATTTTGGGGGTCTCCAAACTCACGCTTTTCTTTAATTGAATTGTTTTTTTTTCTCAACACAGCGCTTCGATCTCCGCTTTCTTCTGATGATGCTTTCTGATGTCTTGAATTTGATGTTGACGGTAGAGTTGCTTCTCTCCCTCGTGCCTGAGGCTGTGCAGGCATGCCACGTCGTTGAGTGGAACTTCCCGTATTGCAGAAACCCGTTCCATCGGCATTGGGTTTAATAGGAGGAACATACTTTCTTTTTGGAGGCATGCATCAAGATTCAGTAAGAAAATAGAAAACTAAAAAAATCAGCAAAAGGTCTTCTTTTGTTTATGACTTCGGCTAATTTAAAAGGAAGGAAAACTATGAAAATCATTGTGAAATAAAACTTCATAACTGTGTTTCAGAAATGAACTCTCAGAAGTGACATATATTTATGAATTCGTGAATACTGTATTTAAGTTAACTGAGCCGACTGGATAAGAATAATAGTTAGTAATTTAAACTCTGAAATGAGTACACCCTAATGTTACTATAAAAATAAAAAAGTTTTAAACTTGTATAAATAAATTTTAAATAATAATGAACTCATTAGCATAATACGTTTTAAGTTGCCCCTATCATCAACATATATATATATCTATATATATCAGAGAATATTACTGTTGCAAAACGTTATATAGTGACCACCGGATATTAAAAGTAACCAATAGAGGAACTTTAAAAAGTAATAGCATATAAAAACGCCTTACTGAAGCAAGTTGTGGACCTGAAAAAGACAATTACAAATAGTATGCATCTTTTTATAAATCTATACACTTCCGCAGATAAAAATCAACTCATTAATAATGTTCAATAGAATAAAAGTATCGCCATACGTTGTTCAGAATTTTGGTTTTCATAGTTTTTCTCGTTTAACTATTGAATAGTAAATATTATATATCGTGTAAAGGAATGCAAGACGAAATTCTGTCAACGATATTGAAGAAAAACACAGAAAACGCGAAGAAAAAAATTCAGAGAGTACTGTGATAAATGTGATATATAGAAATAATAATTATGGCTTT